GTGTCTCTGCGTCTGCGTGTGTCTCTGCGTCTGCGCGTCTCTGCGTCTGCGTGCGTGTGTTGCAGGGTAAACCGATGCGCGAGTCTCTCGGGGAGATCTCGTACTCCGCCTCCTTCCTCGAGTGGTTTTCTGAGGAGGCGCGGCGAGTTTACGGTGACATTGTGCCATCTCCAGCCAAAGACAGAAAGCTCCTCCTCCTGAAGCAGCCGGTGGGCGTGGCCTCCATCATCACACCGGTGAGCAGCTCGTTAATGAATTGATATCACGTTATCCAAGCTAGAATCGATTTTAATCGATAATCAAACCCACCCCTAATAAATCCATCACATGACGTCCCGCAAAGAATTTGCTTTTGGTCGTTTCCAGTGGAACTTCCCCAGCGCCATGATCACCAGGAAGGTCGGCGCCGCGCTGGCTGCCGGCTGCACGGTGGTGGTTAAACCAGCTGAGGACACGCCACTGTCGGCTCTCGCTCTGGCAGAGGTGAGTACGTCAAACATCTGGATAGGGGTCGGCACTTTGTTTCCTCGTGGGACACACATTGTTGAGTCACTTCCTGTGTTTTGGCGTGTTTTTTTTCCCCCTCAGCTGGCGGAGCAGGCGGGGATCCCGGCAGGGGTGGTCAATGTGGTTCCGTGCTCCAGAGAGTCGACGCCCTCGGTCGGGCAGGTCCTCTGCACAGACCCTCTGGTGGCTAAAATCTCCTTCACTGGATCCACGGCGACCGGGAAGGTCAGAGTGCAGCGCCGCCCGCGGCGCCGCCCGCAGCGCCGCCTGCTGGCTGCGGGTAAGATCCACATAAAAAGCAGAAACTCTTCTTTAAATAAAACTTTGGTTTCAGGTGTTGCTGAAAATGGCCGCTGACACAGTGAAGAAGGTATCCATGGAACTGGGTGGCCACGCCCCCTTCATTGTGTTTGACAGCGCAGACCTTGACAAAGCGGTGGGCGGAGCCATGGCATCCAAGTTCAGGAACTCAGGCCAGGTGAGGGTGTCTCTTGCTGACCTGTTCCACAGGTGAACGCCACCATTGTGCACACTGACGCTTCTTCTTCCTGCAGACGTGCGTGTGCTCGAACCGGTTTCTGGTCCAGAGCGCCGTCTACGACCGCTTCGTGGAAAAGTTGGGGCGGGCTATGGATGCCGAGCTGCGTCTGGGTCACGGCTCGGAGCCCGACACCACGCAGGGGCCGCTCATCAACACCCGCGCCGCAGAGAAGGTAAACGCCGTTTCCACTATTAAGCCCGATTGTTTCGTCCCCGTGACAGAGCAGAGAAAACCGACTCAGCGTTAGAACATTTATTTCTTTTATTCAACCATCTTCTGAAGAGACGCCTGCACTGCCCAGACGCCAGTTGCAGCATCTCTAACATTAGAATCATAACCTGTGCCTCATATAGGTGTTATTTTGGTACTTTACACGTCACAGTTTCAATACAAACATTGTTATATGGCAAACTTCCTCTTTTCTGTCTGGCTTCCTGTATTTATTAACATGCTGTACAGCTCTACACTTCCTGTTTTCAGCCTGGCTGAGTGCTTAGTTTGTGAGTCTACAAACCTTCATTATTAAAATACATAAAGCAATAAAATAAGGATACTAAGGATATATTAATTACATGACACCACATTACTGCCGACGATAAATGACTGAAGTTTGTTTAAAGACCGCACCAGCACGCCGCTGAACGCTCTGTCTGCCTCCCAGGTGCTACATCAGATTTCGGACGCCGTGTCCCGCGGGGCGAAGGTGGTAAAAGGCGGGAAGCGTCTCGATGGCTCCTTCATGGAGCCGACTCTGCTGGCCGACGTCACCGCCAACATGCTGTGCACGAAGGAGGAAACCTTCGGGCCGCTCGTGCCCGTCATCAGGTGAGTCCAGACAGATGATCGAGACGGGATTTGTTGATCTGCGGGTTTAATCCCGGCTAGACGCAGATTCTTGTTTATGGTGAAGCCGTCTGAGCTCGCCTGTGTCTGATCTGCAGGTTCAACACGGAGGAGGAGGCTCTGGCTATTGCTAACGCGACCAGTGTCGGGCTGGCAGGTGAGTCCACCTGCGTGCATGCAGCCGATTGGTTCCTAGACTGCAGATCGCGGGCTGTTCATGCGTCGTCGCAGACGTGTCGGTTTCTGAGAGCAGGACTCAGAGCTGTAAATTAGACTTTAACGTTTGACCCTGTAGAAGAAAGGTTCACGTGGCGGCGCCTCATAGCTCTAACCTCCTCCTTTGTTCTCAGGTTACTTTTACTCACAGGATGTGAGTCAGATCTGGCGGGTGGCGGAGGCGTTGGAGGTGGGGATGGTCGGCGTCAATGAGGGGCTGCTGTCCACGCCAGAGGCCACGTTTGGTGGGGTGAAGGAATCCGGCATGGGCCGCGAGGGCTCCAAGTACGGCGTCGACGAGTACCTGGAAGTGAAGTACGTGTGCTTTGGAGGCCTCAAACCGTGAGGAGGAAGAGGAGGCGGTACAAAAGCTGTGACTCGGTGGAGGTGGTCGGATTCTTTTATTAACACGTGATAACTCCTTCAATAAAGTTTGAATTCATGCAGGATCAAAAACGTCCAACCCGGACTTTGTAAATCACATTTTGAATCAGCTGTCGCTTCTACGCTCACACACTCGGCACCAGCGCGACGCTTAAACTTATCTGAACCCGTCTCAGACTGGTTGGACTGCCCAAACTCACACCAGAAGGAGGCGCTACTCAGTCCGTTTATCTGCCCTGTCTGCTGTGATTGGCTATCAGTGTTAAGGGATTGTAAACTGAAGGGGAGGGGCTAACAAACCGCCACATTGTGATGAAACTTGTTTTTAAAATTATTTTCTGCTTCACCCGCGGCGCAGCGAGTGTCCATAAAGCTTCCAACTCGCATGAATCCTCCTGAATCGTGAAACTTGATTCATTCCTAAAGAAATTGTGCGTGATGAGCGACGCGCCTTTGGAAGCGAAGCCGACAGAGCGACAGCCGGCGCCGCATCGAGCCATGAAAACACGAACGGGTGCAAACCTGTCGACTCGGCTCGTCTACATGTGAAACGCTCTCGTAGCAGTTTAATACCTGGATGTTTGTCTGTGACTTTAGCTGATGGGGTCAAAGTTCATGTGTGCGTTTTGTATTCTGACCACATTAAAGACGAGTTTGTGTTACTTCTGTGTTGGTGTGTTTATGTCCGAGGTGTCGGCTCACATCCTTCGTCTCTGATTCACACGCTGCTTCTCGTTAGCCAACAAACGTTGATGATGTTTAACCCGGTGGACGGCGTCTGTGACCCGGGCTCAAACGAACCACGACCGTGTGATCGGACGCCGTCGTCAGCTGACTCTGCCGTGTTTCCTGGTGAGCGCTCTGTTAGCTAACGAGCTCACAGCTGTGAATCGGGCACGTGGCGGTGGTGCGATGCTTGATGTGTCCCGCCCTCTTGCTCTTCCTCTTATGTCCGAGCAGACGCGCGTCCGTCCTCCAGGTCTCGAGTTCCTTGCGTCCTTTGAAATGGGACATGTTAGCATTCTCTTGAAAACTGGGTAATGTGGTCCCTCATACACATCCCAGAATGCACCATTCTGCGTCTGCGAGAGGTCGGCCGCCCCGTCATCCGAAGGCGTCGCCGTTGCGGGCAGCCATGGTGCTGATGCGGTTCCTGCTGCGGACCGGCCGGTCGCGGCTGAAGATAGTGTCCTGGTCGCTGTCCAGCTCCGACTCGGACATCATGAGGCTGGAGTTGTGCTCCGTGCTGCGGTGCTTGATACCTGCACAGGGGAAAGGTCAGCGGGGGTCATGGTTTAAGTCTCAGTCATTGAATAAAGATGGAGGACGACCTCCCGCCGCTCCAGGGAAACGTCTGCTCTAAAGAACAGCGGGACATTCCCAGGAACGTGGGAACAGTCAGGTGCTTTAAAAGAAGGAAGCGGCTTCGCTTTGGTTCATGAAGACGATTCTGCTCTTAAGAGCGATGAACCACACCCTGGTCACGTGATAGCTGCAGAGTGAATCAGCGACCCCGCAGGACCGCCTCCAAGGTGACGACTAACTGAGCCGCAGTGAAACGACTTCATGAACCAACGAGAACGCCGCCACAGACCGACCCCGACAGCAGGCGGACTATGGCAATGTGACTCACTGAATTTGGGGCGGAGCTCCACCCTCTCCTGCTCGTCCATGTTGTCCAAGATGGTGTATTTGGTTTTCTTCCTCGCTTTGGTCTGTCGTCTCCTGAAAGCAGCAGAGACCAGTTCACGCACAGAAGCACACCTGGGATCAGTCTATCACCTGCAGCGGCGTCCTCACCTCTTACAGCAGCAGATGAACGTCCAGCCGAGCGACAGGATGAGGACGACGAGCACGAAGCTGGTCAGGATGACGTACAGGACCCTCCACTCTGTCAGAGGAGCACAGCCGACAGGTCAGCGGCTCGTGCGGAGCTTCACTTGAATGTGTGCTGTGTGATGCGTACAGGTACATTTACAGGTGTGTGCACAGGCTTCACTGCTCGTTTGGAGGCCAGTTTAAATAAAGAGCTCTCCCCCTCCGTGCACTCGGAGACCAGCTTACCATCAAATCTGGTTCCTGCATTAGTCTCTGCTGCTGTCGGCCTCGTTTACTTTCTTTTATTTGGCTTTTATTGATATCTAATTTTATTCTATAGTTCCAATGTACAGCACTCAGCTGGGGTTGTTTTAAAGGGTTTTATAAATAAAGGTGATGATGAATCAGTGACGACACTCACACGCACAGTTACCAGGCAGAAAAGGCCCGCGGCGCTCATGTTTAACATCAGCATCGCTTTCACAGCGGAACAAAGAAATTCGCTGCAGTTACATTAATAACACGCGCATCTGCTGCAAAGCTGCAGCTGCGCGTGTAAGTCGACAGCCGCATTAAAGAAGTGTCGTGAAAAGTGCGAACACGTGGGCGGGTCTGTCACGCCCCAGTCCCGGGTTGCAGCACCGTGTGCGGCTGTCGCCTTACACGCGCAGCTGCAGCGTTTCGGCTACAACAACAGGACCCAGTTCTTTCTGTTTTAAGCCAGCGAGCCGTGATTGGGGACGCTGCTCACAGGCCCCGCCCCAGCTCTGCAGTCAGAAACGGGCTGACTGCAGCCAGTAAGACAGAAAAGTATGAAACTCACTACATGATGTTTCATCTCCGTTCACAAGTTTCTGGACTTTGAGACTGAACTTTGTTTCACATCCTGTTCAACTTGCTGCTGCAGACGAACGAAGCAGTCGAGGGACAAACGTCACAAGTTTGTGTGAAAGTTGTTTAAACAGAAACGACTGAAGGATTCGTTGTGAACGAGTTTGTAATGTAAATAAAGTTTTCTGTCGTTTCTCGCCATCACGTGAGGAATGACCCGCTGCCGTGACCGAAGATACTTTACCGCAGTTGCTCTCTCCGTCGCCAAGGTAACGACGAATCAGGTTCTCGGTCCAGAAGGGGTCGCAGGCACACTGCTTGGTGATTGGATCGCACTGACCACGCCCCGAACAGCTGAGCAGACACACTGAGGGAAAAACGAGCGCATTAAACCCAGACAAACGCCCCGCCCCTTTCTGAGATGTCACAGGTGAGCCGTGCCCCGGCTGGACTCACAGACGGTGTCCACCCTCAGGACTCTGAACAGCAGGTAGTCGCTTTTCTCGAAGAGCAGCTGGCTGCGCAGCACGCCGACCAATCGGGAGGCAGAGAGGGGCCCCGAGGCGCCGTGCACGGAGAACCGCAACACGGTGCTGCAAGCAGAGAAAACATCACAGGTTATGGCGAGCCGGCACGTGGAGGGGCAAGTCCGCGGTGCGTGCAGGTACCTGATGTGGGAGTGTCCCTGCAGCGCTCGCACGTGGAGGTCGCTGTCAAGGACGTGGATCAGAGCGGCGAGCTGTCGGACCACAGTGTCTCTCTGAGCCACGCTCACCTGAGACACCGACACCAGCATCTCCAGCTCCACCTGCTCGCCGCCGCCGGGCTCTGCAGACACGTGGGACAACACATCTATGTCGGCGCAAGCCTGCGTAACACAAAACGGGACGAACGGCGAGCTTCCAGCCTCACCTGGTCGCACCTCCACAGTGGCCGTGGCGGAGCCGGAGCGCCCCTGCGCGTTGGTCACCTTCAGCTGGAACAGGTAGGTGCCTTCGACCAGGTTGGCGAGGTAGAGCGAGGGCTGAGTATCCGAGCCGTACAGTACGTCCTGGAACCAGCAAAGGTCAAAGGTCACTCGGTCACACACAGTGTGAGGTCGATGAGCCGCCACTGATTTAAACTGAAGTTTAGTTTCCCGCGGGTCACCTGCGCTCGTTAATAAAGTTTGATTTGAAGCGTCACAGCGCCGGTCGGAACTCACCCCGGCAGCAGGACTCTGGCTGTCCCGGGTCCACAGGAAGTGCACCGCGGTCTGATCGGCGTTGGTCACCGAACCTCTGAGGACCAGAGAGTTGTTGGGCAGAGTGACCGAGTGGCTGCCGCTGGCGTGGGCGACCGGAAGAAAACTACCGGCTGGAGTTTGGAGAAAGCAGACGACCTTAGATTAGCGTGTTTGTGATTTAAACGAGTCTGACAGGAAGAGCTCCACCTTCCACGAATAACACAGAGTCGCTCACCTTCTGGGACTTTGACGGTCAGCGAGGCGCTGTCTGTCGCCCCCTCCTGGTCAGAGACGGTCAGTCTGAAGGTGTAGCGCCCCGCCCGAACCCCCGAGGCTGTGGCGACGGGCTGATCTGCGTCGTCCAGCCTCAGCCCGGGAGGCCCGCTGGAAAACACGAAACCCGACCGAACAAATTTGATCTTTCAGTCACAGGAACATGAAAAAAGGCTCCAGACTTACCTGACCGCCTCCCAGCGGTAGCTGACGATGCCGCTGTCGTCACTGCTGCCGCTGCCGTTGAGCAGCAAGCTGCTCACCGGGAGAGACAGGCTCCTGTCGGGGCCCACGACGGCCACCGGACCACGGTTTGACCCTCCAACCTGTGACACCGACGCTGAAGCTGGAAAAGCGAGAGGAGGTTTAAAGAGTCGGTGTGAAGCCACAGAAAGCATTAAACCCGTCGAGTTTACCTGCTGACTCAGTCGCCGTCGTAGGGTTAAAGCTGGCTGCTGACAAGGTCGGGGTAGTAAGGTCAGAGGTCACAGTCAGGTGGGTGGTGGAAGGTGGAGTTCCGGCTGCAGACTGAAGCATCTTCACAGCGTCTGTGCGAGAAATGAAGGTTAAATTCTTCCTTTCATTTACCTGCTTCCTCACCTGGTCTCTCTGAGGTCACCTGTTTGTCTTTAAACTGAACTTTGACCTTCACACTGTCTCAGGTGAACACCACCCACTTAATAAAATGAGTCACCTCCAACCACCACAAAGTTTCTCCTGGGCAGTAACTACACTCCTTCACGCGACAGTCTCTGGTTTAACATGAACCATCTACAGTGACCAGCAGGGGGCGACTCCACTGCCTGACATGAACTCAATAACCTGTTTTTCCTTAAAAAAGACTAAATAAAAATATTAAAAAAGATCAAATGTTAATCTAAACAAACATTTTTTGGTCATAAACTCACCTGACGTGGGTCTGCTGGTATGTTCAGGAGCAGCTGGAGTGGTGGGTTTCACTGTGGTCGCCTCTACGGGGTTTCCAAGAGACACCAGCAGGGGTGGAGCTGCATGTGGAGGACAAGTTACTGCTCCACTGGTCAGAGGGACAGGACCTGTGAGGCTCTTCAGACACGTTTGCTAAAGTTTATCTTTAAAACAATGAACTGGAGTGAACCTGCGACCTGACGGAGGTGCTTACCTGGGTTTGCTGTGGGGCTGCTGGAGGTGTGGGCTGGCTCTGAGCTGGTCTCGGGTGTCAGGGGTGGAGAGGTGGAGCTGCTCTGCGTCTGTAGGGAGAACAATGACAGGCTGCAGACTGGTCTCCATGGAGACAGTTATCATATGAGCTCACGCTCTGAACTCACTGATTCCTGTGGCGCCACCTCCGTCGGTCTCTTGGCCCCACCCTCCTCTCCCTGGCGCACGCCCGGGGCCGCGCTGCTCTCTGTCGGCCTCCTCTCTGGACCATACTCAGCCTCTGATTGATTGAAGCTGCCCCCCCCTTTCAAAGGTGGCTGATTGGTCTCCTGTTCTGGGCTGGCTCCACCCCTCTCCTCCTGGCTGTCCTCTGAGTACTCGACATCCAGCATCCCGGGGTCTGGGAAGCCTCGATGTGGCGTGTCGAACAGGGAGAGATCTTTCAGGGCCTCCAAGTCGCCGGGCGCCTCAGACGAGCGTGAGAGGGGCCTCCAGCGCCCGCCGTAGGGCTCCCCCCTCACCAGGGACTGAAGCACCAGTGTCTGCGGGGACGGGCGTCGCAGGAAGGCGAGGAACGAGTCGGCGCCAGGCGTCTGCCGGGGCTGGCAGTTCTCCCTCTGCTGGCAGCTCAGCACGTAGCAGCGGCCCTCGAACAGCCACGCCAAGTCGTAGCCGGGCAGGTCGCAGCATGCCGCCACGCACTGCGGCAGGGACGACACACTGGGCACCCGCAGAATACCGCTGCTCTCGACCACAGGAGACACCACGGCCTCGGAGAAGGTCGCCCCCTGCCAGCACTGAGATGCCACTGCAGCTGCAAGAGAAACGGGTTTAATAAGATGCATGCGAAGAGAGACAGCTTTACATTTTTCCTGATGAACTGCGGGCGTCCGCTCGCTGCAGAGACACCCGCAGCCTGCAGACGTCTGAGCTTTATACTGCAAAGGGCAGTATAAAGGCAGCTCAGCGTCACTGCACTGCATAAGCTACCATAAATGATGCTCCGCCCTCACAGATTAAGATGAAGTCAGCTCCTTTAAAAGTCTGATCGTCTGAGGGGAAACACCACGGAGCCTGCTGCCCTTCTCTTTGTGTCTTTGCTGCACACTTATAATTGATCCTTTAGTTTTCCTCCATCACCAGAATAAGATTACAGGCTGGCAAGTTCAACATTTCAGTTCAAATAAACGGATTAAAGTGTGTTAAACACAGTGTTGGTGAGTAACAGAGTACATGTGCCGCCGTTACGTATTTGAAATACAGAATATGAGTAACTGTATTCCGTTACAGTTACCGTTTAAAAAGGTGGTATTCAGAATACAGTTACTTTGTTGAAATAAATGGATTACACGGCGGTACTTTCCTGTTTCATATGTTCGGCTCTGCTCTCTCTGTTTTTGGTTTCCACGCCGATGGAAACCCAAACCAAACACGCATTAAGAAGCTCTAAGCATGTAAATATAATAATAACCTGCAGCCAAACAGAGCCTGACGAGCCCAGCTGTGAGTAAGCTATTAAGACTCGACTGTACGCTGTGTTCGTGTTTCCTCTGAAACAATAAGCTCCGTTGCAGCAGCCTTTCAACGCCTCTCTCTGGCTGTCGCTAGCAAAGTGACCCAGACAACAAAGTAAAGCTAGTTTTCGGCTACGAGCCCGACACGAACCCGACGTATCAGCCAGAGGTCCCTTTACTACGGTTCGGAGCCGCAGACCTGTTTTATATACGCGAGGAATAGTTTCTATACGAGGTCGCTGCAAAAAGTGCAGCCTTACCTAATGTCCACCTACTGTTACTCATTTATATTAAGATTTAAACATCTGGTTGGTGTTGGTGTGGAGAGTAACCTTCAGTAATAGTAATAAATCACACAGCAGTAGGACATTCATGTAGTTGTAAACACCATGATTATATATTAAGTAATCCAAAGTATTCAGAATACGTTACTGTCATTGAGTAACGTAACGGAATACGTTACAGAATACATTTTGTGGCATGTAATCTGTAATCTGTAGTGGAATACATGTTAAAAGTAACCTTCCCAACACTGGTTAAACAGTCCTGGGTATGACACGTTTTAATCCATGCTGACATTTTTGACACGTCCACATTTCTGAATGGTTTTACCTTCCACCGCGTGGATCAGTAGCAGAAGCATGTTTTCCCACATGGTTGGTCCGTCAGCCTGAAACGATCGATCACAGCAGGTTAAAAAATCATCGCTGCTCCTCACACACCTGACAGCAGTGACGCGGTCCTCCCTGCACGGTTTCAGCACCGTCACGGTGGACAGCGCCACCTGGAGCCCCGCCCAGCAGCACGAAGCAGCCACGCTGTTACTGAAAACAAAGCTTCGGCCCCGCGAGGCCAAAAAACCCAATTTGATATTAAAAAAATCTCCCCATGAAGCAAACACGTGCTTGTTTATCAGGAGCTAAAAGCGCAAAAATCACATCCCAGGCATCGCTCTGGCTGTTCCACGCTCCTCAGGGTACCATTCAGAAAATGACTAGTTTATATTTCATTATTTATAAGTAAATATTCATAAAAGATTAAGCTTCATTCATAAAAATTGAAGGGCCCAAATTAGTCATCCTTTAATTCGGCAAAGGTTTAGGCCAGTAAACCCGAAACCTTGCGCTAAAAAATCAAACTCCGTGAGGCCGTTTGAGGGAAACCTGATAAACAGGACGAGGCAGGGAAAAAGCACCACCACTTATAAACGAGCCGAATCGCAGCACGTAGTGAAAGAAAGCTGAATTCACGTTAGTCATCTGATTTCTTTGTTCTGCTGAATAAAAATCTTTAATTTTGCAGATTTTTAAATGTAGTTCTGCATGATGAAGGCTAACAGCGCAGATTACGATGAGAATCCAACACCTGCCGTCGCAGGTCGCTGTTTTTAACATTTACAGCTCCAAGACAAAAGCAGACGTCTCAGTGTTCGCACGTTTCACCGATTACACCGTCCTCGCGCCGTTTGCGGGTTTTTATTATGGAACCCGCAAACGGCGCGCGGGTTATTAACCTGGATGTAACGCACCTGACTCCTGCGGCGCTCCGGGCCTCCCAGCAGGCCTCTCGGCTCCTCAGTGCTCCTCCCGGCCGGACCCCGTCAGCCCCGCGGGCCTCATACTGGACTCAGCGATGGGGGTTCAACCACAAAGATTTACCTGCTCACACTGCGATGCTGAGAAAGCACGAGCGCCGTACGTCCGAGAAAATCACACGCATACACATCCGGTCATACCTTTCAAAATAAAGCCTACAAATCCTAGTGTTTGAAATGAAACCGTTATATCAGCACCATGTCAGGGGAAATGAACAGGGAGCGAGCATACACTGGACGTTTTTTTGTGGATATCTGCTTCATGTAACGCAATTTTAACACATTTATCTTTGTTTGAAAAGTTTTGTCCTTTACTGGAAATTTCAAAACCCAACTATGCTTTTATTTTGTCGGGAATACTGTGCGAGTTCCGTTGCGGATTAAATGAACTGCATTAATTTGCCCCTTGCCCTCCATTGTGTGCCTTTATTTTCTCTCCTGTGTGTTATTTATTCCTGCACAGTTGGCTTGGAACAAAATGACAATAAAAATAAAATAAACTCTATTCTGTTCTATTCTTAAATTGTATTAAGGCTGAAAGTTTGGGGCGTGGCCTCTTTGACTGACAGGCGGCGGCTCCATCCGCTAGCTTCACCTGCACTCTGAGCTTTTGAGTTTTTAATAACGTCATGTGACGATGCTGTGAGGTTACGGACGTCGGAGCTCCAGTTCAAAGAGAGATTCGCTAAAATGCTAACGTGGAAGTTTCACAACGGTCGAAGTCCAGCAGCCCGCACCAGCTGTGAAATATCACAACTCTGCTCACTTTTATTTGTTTTCTTAAAAAACATTTACAACTGAAATCACGAGCATTTATAAATTACAACAGCAAACACAATATCAGTTTAAATGCGCCCGCCTGAGCCGGCTCTAACCACAGGCGGTCAGCTGGCTGGTTAGACTCAAACGAGTTTAACCACAGCTTGAAGTTCACGCCTGGCTCCGGGGCGCTCGGCTGCAGCAGGAACTATTTCACTGATGAAGCTATCGTCAGCGTGAGCGTGCTTTAGTCTCATAACACGTTACAGTGCCCCCCCCTGTAAACCAAAAACTCACATTTATTCGGCCATCTGCCCCCCGCATGCTTCTGCAAGCTGTCCAATCAGAGGAAAGCTGGCATCTTAAGAGACAGTAGCCAAAGCAGAGGGTGACTGAGGGGCTGAGCCCTGACACAGGAGGATTATTTTGAACTGTGAATCATGCAAAGCTGTGAATCATAAAAATATGAAGCTGGAAATATTAGTGAGAAGTCGCCGGTTTGATTCCTGCTGCTGCTGAGAGCCCTAGAGCAAACTGTTAGCTTTGTGGGTCAGCTGACAGACCAGACGGGCATCAGGTCACAAACTGAGCATCTGGTTCAGGACAATCACACACGACCCAACAAAAACATCAGCCGTGCAGCAAACGTGGCCTCAAAAGGAAATATGAAGTTTTTTGTTTTTTAATATTTAAAAAAAACTAACAAAAGATCTGCAGAGGCTCCACCCACTGCTTATCTGAACAACCAATGAGCTCTCAGATCAGGTAAGGTGTGTTACCCAGAATGCGTGGGCACAGTGATGCGGCACTCCTGACTCCTGCTGCTCAAAATAAGCAGGGGTGCTATTTTTGACAGAAACCACACCAAGCTACTCAGAGCAGAGAACAGGAAGTCAGAAACAAGCCACATTTCAAAATAAAAGACCCCATGCAAGGCTAAATGCTCCAGGTACAACTAGAAGACCCTCAGAGACATGACGGAGTGAGTCAGGATTCAAATCATCTGGACCTGCGGATTCCTCGGTCAGGCCTGAACTGTCTAGGGTAGCTGCTGGTGCTCGCAGGGCGGACAGGAAGGAGAAGGCGACGCCTTCGAGGGGAACTTGTCTGTAAATTGGATCGTTTATTTCCTCTGACCTCACTTGTCCCAAACCAGACGCTCTGAGCTGAAACCAGCGAAGCTTCCGAGCATCAACACATGACAGCGTGCATTAAATCCGTCCTCTTTCCTCTTCAGCCTTAACGCTGAGTCGCTGAGCTCCATCAAAAAGCTCTGCATTCTGCCGCTGAAACAACCTGTTTATTACACCCTCTGCTTTATTAGAGCCATAAATATCTACACTTTGTTATAATACAGATTTCACATCACACAGCACTTCCTGAATGAGTGCGTCGGGCCTCCAGGTGAGTCTCCAGGTCCAAACAGAGATGATGAGGGGAACTTCCTGTACTGCCATCTGGATTCTAACAGGAAATAGTTCGAGCTTCATCGTGGAGGTCAGGCAGCGGGCGGTGGATGAGAGCCGTGTGTGTGGGAGGTTATTCTACTCGTTATGATCGAAAGTCCTTCTCGACCACGCTTTAAAAACAAACTGTGAGGCTCGCCCGTGACCATGCAGTGCATCTTTAAATCAGGCAGCCCGGCCCGAGCTTCTAACCAGCCCTCGCCTTCGACGCTGCACCAATCACGGCTCAGAATGCTGCTGAGAGAAGTGCGTTCCTTTTGTCTCCTGCTGCCGGATCTACTTTCAGGATCGTTGATGGAGCCGTAGAGCGTCTGGATTCACACCGACGAGGCAAAAGAAGGACAGGACAGGAAGGAGTGCGGCACTCTGACCTCCAGCTGGAGGCAGCAGAGAGGTGAAGAACACGAGCAGGTGAAGGCAGCGGGGATCCGAAGGCTCGCCGTTTTCCCTTCGCAGGGATGAACGAGCGCGGGGGACGTCACCAGGACCCGTTTCAGCATTCGAGAGGCGGGTGGAAGCTGCGTCTGCAGTCGATGGCCTTCGGGCTGGGAGGCTGTGCTCGCTTCTTCCGCAGCTCCTCCCGACCCAGAGTACCGCTGAGCCGAGAGTACGCCGCCTTGTACTTCTTATCGAACGCCGCTGTAAGAGAGAGAGGAGGAGGAGTTACCATCGAACAGCTGACCTCAAAGATGTCGAAGGTTAAAATCTGCGAGTCTGTGACTGAACTACAGACCACACCCATGTAAAGGAACAGCCGTCAAAGTCGTGTGCTTCCTGATTTAACACTGTTTGACCAGTTACTCTGTTCTGCTGGGAGCAGTCTCCACGCAGCAGCATGAACACGTCTGCTGACGGTGCTGTGAGGAGCTCAGCAGTCATACTGCAGAGTGACACGACAGGAGGATGGACCTGAGCGATCTTCAGGCCTGCAGGGCCTCACGGTTTGGCTCTTACTCCCTGAGTGTCTTAAAGACATAAAGGCCCGGAGGGCCGCTAACTTTCTGCTTCTTCATTCAGATCAAACTGAGGTTATTGTACTCTTGTTGCTTTTTATATTATTGTACGATCTACTGTACAATATAAAGCGCCTTGAGGCGACTGTTGTTGTGATTTGGCGCTGTATGAATAAAGTTAAATTGATTGTGTGGCGATCATCTGAAACCAGGCTCCACCTCCTGATGACGTGTTAGGAGATTAAATGGTGGACTCCAAGAGTTCGCACCATCAATTTAGTGATGGGTGGGTGGGTGGATGCATGTATTGGTGGATGGATGAGTGGATTGGGTGGATGGACGGGCGGGCAGTCTCGACCTTTGACCTCCAAAATCTAAACATTTCTTCCTTTGGTCCATGTCTGTAATTTATTCACAGACATCAGCTTCACAGGAAACGCCCACAAACACGAATGCAGAACATACTAATAATAATAATGCTAGCTGCTAGCTGCTAGCCTGTGGCGTGTTCTTACCGACGTGATCTTTGCCCATAGCTGCCAGCGTGAGGAAGAGGAACTCTCTGTACAGACTCCTGCCAGACACAGAAAACACAAAATTCACATCTCACCGCATCAAAGTAAAACCTCAGCTGAACGTTTTTCAGGTCGTCTCGCTGCTGCCCGTCTCCGTTTCACAAACTTCTGCGCCTGCCGGCTCACCTCTGGATCCTGGGGGTTCCCGGCTGTTTGGCCAGCGTGTCCAGGAAGAGCGTGACGGCCTTGTGCACCTCATTCATGCCCACCCACCGCAGCACCTCCTCCAGGAAGGACAGGGTGAACGGGTGGTTGTGCCTCCGCCAGCTGTAGCTTCTCATCAGGACGCCACCTGTTGGAAGGAAAGAAGGATGGCGGCTTAAATGCTTAAATGTTAAAAAGTCAACAACTCAACAATAAACGTGTGCTCATCTCACTGTGGATCCTCCAGAGGACGTAGAGGGGGGGCCACTGGTCTGTGTCGGGGGTCAGGGTGTCCCACAGGAGTCTCACTCTCACTGCCGAGTTCTCCGACTGGGAAACACAAACGACGAGAGTCAGCCAGGCGTCATCTAACCGATAACATGGCTGCTGTGAGGTCACCGCGGCGTGAGCTCAGGTTTTATTGGGATGGCACTGATTAGCAGGTGTCCTGTACAGTCTGTCGATGCAGACAAAAAAGCCGCGCTGCTGGTGGACGTGATGCCAAAGTGCAGGCTTCAAATTCAACATCGAACCCCAGCCGGCACACAGCACCGAGCCGACCCCACATTCACCACAGTCGACCTCATTTTGCCCTTTTTGTTTTTCTCTCCTGTTGGACACGCCCACCTGGCTGCCATAACTTCACCTAACTGTGTTACCTGTGTGAACTGGCTGACCAGCGGTGAGGCTCGGACCAGCTGCAGCAGGTTGTTGGGCAGGCCGAGGCGCTGGAAGTACCACACCAGGTTCCAGAAGATGATGGAGTGGTTGTCCAGGAACTGAGGCTGGGCCAGGACCGCCTCGCCTTCGTTCTCCAGCAGACTCTCCAGCTCCTTCCTCAGAACCAGAGGGCTCAGGTAGGCCACGGTCACCTGGGGAACTCCGCCCACTGACGAACCCTGATGGAGGGGGTGGAGTCTGTGAGTGAGACGTCCGGTGAGGATGATGTGTGAGAGAAACGGCTTTGCGGAGCATTACCGTGGTGGTCCTGCTGGTCTCGGAGTAGCTGCTGGTCTCGGAGCTGGAGTCCTCGCTCAGCCCGTTACACTGGGGTCGCAGGGACGCCTCGTGACCACTGGGGGGCCTCACGGCACTCTCCACCTCGTCCTCCAGGTTCCAGTTGCAGCGGTCCGCACTGACAAGGCAAAGAAAAGTCAGCTCCGGAAAAGAAACACCTGTCAATGCGGCATAAACGATCTGTGCTTCTGGAGTTTGACCAGCAGCAGATAACGTCCGTCCTGCAGGAACACCTCTAGTTACCTTAGGCCACAGCAACGTGCTAAACCAGCTGTACCTGCTGACGGGTCCAAGGTCACAGATCTCGGCGTTCAGGAAGGGAACAAAGGAGGAGCCGCAGAACGGGCAGGAGGAGTTCAGGTTGGAGTCGTCCGATGTCCAGCCCGCCATGATCTCCTCGTCGTAAACCAGTGAGTTGCAGCTACGACAAAGCGAGCAGCTGGACATCAACACCTGGACACACGGGGGGAGGGGCTCAGGTTAACCGACGGGACCAGTCCAGTTGCTGCAGCGTTCCTAAACACGCTCCATTTACCTCTATTCCCACCCCCTCCTGATTGGCGTCCCAGGACCGGCGTAGAGGATATGCAGGACTCGGCACATCCATCAAGTCAAGGTCGCTTCCTACAGACAGCGAGCTCTGAGAAGACAGGAAGTAGATTAGTGACAGAGTCTGTTAACACCTGCGAGGAGCAAAAACAAGGAACACTTTAATACTGGAATGTGTGCAGACGATGCTCACGAACCAACACAGACTTCCATCAACAGCAGCAAACAGCTGCAGGCTCACATCACACACCTCCGAGCAACGATCTGACACGAGCAAACGCGAAGACGCCGCCGTTACCTCTGACGTGGCGTTGACCAGCTTCTCCTTTGCTTTCAGGAGAGTTTCGGCCACTTGACCTTTCCTCGACGGCCTCTGGTCCGACACTCTTCGTCCAATCACTCCTCCTCCCGCTCCTCCCCCTCCTCCCGGGCGCCGGTCGCCCACGCTGGCGGCTCGTCGCACGGACACTCGGTGTTTGGTCGGCGTGAGGAGTTGCTGCAGTTTGCCCGCCAGTCCTCCTCGGCTCGGGGAGGAGACGTTGTTGTAGTTCTCATCGACAGCTTTGTTCCTGCCGGACGAGCCCTGCACGTCGGCAGGTCTGAGGATCAAACACGCACACGGGTGAAGAAACGTCCAATCAGAGGCCAGAATCGATGTCAGACAGGTGAAGGTGAAACTGACCGTCTGTCTGCCTCAGCGGGCAAGTCCAGCTCCGAGTCGGCCGACTCCACGCACTCTTTGTAGAAGCTGGAGAGGCAGACCTGACTCCGCTGAACCAGAGCTCCACCGGAGGGCGCTGGAGGCGGCGTGGACGTGTCCCGCCGTCCCAGCGGGGGTTTACGGGAGACGGCGTCTGCACAGCCATTGGCCCCCACCTCACGGAGGACGGACTTCTTACCCGGTTTGACCTCTGTGGGGCAGAAAGGAGAATTAGTGAGACGATGATGTCACAGAGGAAGAGGAGGACGCGGCGAAGCTGAGCAGGCCGCCTCTTACTGTCGCTCGCCATCTTCATGCTGCTCAGACTGTTGCTCTTCACCAGCGGGCCAGTCAGAGACTCGTGACTCGAGCTTTCACTCAGGCCGCTCCAACTGGACTGACGAATCAGAGAGGAGTGGGGGCGGGGCCTTCGGTCAAACTCCGCCGCCGTTTCTGTAACCAAACGTATAAATGAAAGGTCAGGGCTACTTCCTGTGTAATGGTGGGGTCATCCATCAACGCTCCCCGCCGTCTGAAAATTAAAATCATGAACTTAAAGATGTCTGACCTCCATGTGAACCCACGGAGCCACTCTTCTGCCGCCGTTTGATTGGCTGTCTGAACTGGGCCACAGCCAGCAGGACGTTCCTCAGCTTGGCCCAGCGGAGACGCCCGCCCTGATTGGTCGACGGCCACTTGCTCTCCAGCACCGCCTGAGGAGAGAGAACGGCGTCAGCGAGGACGTTCAGAGTTCACGCCGTAACATCAGGAAAACACCTGAACAG